AAAAAAAAAAAAAAAGAAAAGCAGTGGTTGAGACAGGAGAGGTCTGCTACCTTGTATTTTTTAACTCAAACAAACAAACAAAAAACTATTGTTTAGGGCAGTTTTAGGTTGACCACCGTATTAAGCATAAAGTACTAAACATACAATCCCTACTCCTGTACACATACAACCTCCCACAAAACAACATCTGCACAGAGTGATAGACTTTCACAATTGATAAATATATTATTACTACCTCAAATCCGTAGTACACAATGGGTTTATTTTACTGTTATACATTATAAGGGTTTTAACAAATATGTAATGGCATGTGTCTGCCATTATAGTCTCCTACAGAATTGTTTCACTGCCCTAGATATCCTCTGCTTTGCTATTCTTTGTCCCTCCCCACTAGTCCCAGCAACCTCTGATCTTTCCTGTCTCCACGATTCCCTTTTCCAAATATTAGACAAATATCTAATATTTGTCTTTGTCATTCTGTGTAGCTCCACTAATCATACAATATATAGCCTTTTCACATACATTTTTGACATAGAAATTATGCATTCAAGATCCCCCATGTATTTTTGCAGCTTGATAGCTCATTTTTATTACTGCTGAGTAATGTTCCATTGTCTGGATGTACCACTTTATCCATTCACCAACTGAAGGACATCTTGGGTACTTACAAGTTTGGGAAATTATGAATAAAAAGGCTAGGAACATCTATGTGCAGATTTTTGTGTGTACATAAGCTTTTAGCTTGTTTGTTAGTTCTAAGGATTGTGACTGCTGAATCATATGGTAGGAGTACCTTCAGTTTGTAAGAAACTTCTGAACTGTCTTCCAGTGTGTGTCCCCACTAGCAATGAATTCTTGCTTCACATCCTTAGCAATATTTGGTGTGTCAGTGTTCTGGATTCGGGCCGTTCTAGTCATTGTGAATGTGTGTGGCACCTCACTGTTCTTTTCTCCCACCATCACCATTCCTTTATCCCTTTGACTCACTTCCTCTTAACCTCAGACTTTCCGCCTTCTTTACTTGTGTCTGCTATTTTTTATAATATTTGGCTTTGTCAGCATGCCTGCTATGTAATATCTAATATTTGTCTTTGTCATTCTGTGTAGCTCCACTAATCCTAAGTCCCTCAAACCCCTTCCATTTTATGTAAATGTTAGCACTTTATCTTTACCTTCAATCCCCTATCAGTGGGCACTTAGGTTGTATTTATGTCTTAATTGTTATAATAATACTGCAGTAAGCATTGTAGAACATATTTTTTTTTCCTTTTCAAAGTAGATTTGTTATTCCAAGTTTATAAGGAAAATAATCATATAAAGTGAAGTATACATGTTAGTAGAACATAATTTTTAAGTTGATGGTTACATATTCTTTGGATGGATGCCTAGGAGAGGCATTAATGTGTCACATGGTATTTCCCTTTTAGATTTTTAAGATCACTTTCCAAAATGGCCATGCCAGTTTACATTACCACCAACAGTGTACATAGGGCTTCTCTGTCTCTGTGTTCTCTCCAGCTTTTGTTGTTGGGTGTCCTTTTTGTATGTGCCATTCTAATCGTGTTTTTGATCTGTATCTCCCTTATTAAAGGCTTTGAAGAATATTTTTGATTGTGTCTATTGGGCTCTGGATCCTCTTTGGTGAATTGTTCATATCTGCTGCCTATTTATGGATTGA